TTCATCCCCCATCCTCAACTCCTTCACCTCCAAGTCAGCGCTCCCGTTTTTTCCCACATCTTGGGATATATCACACCCAGACTGGTCTCCCCCCAGGGCACCAGAGTCCCCACTACTCACTAGTCACCACCAGCTAGGGAGGGGCTGCGGGGGTCCAATGTGGTCCCCCAGGCCTGCCCAGCTTAGCCTCTCACATTCCCCAGGTTGACCAGTCCAGAACTCAACGGAGGCCTTAGACCTGGTTCTCCCTGGAGGTTCCTGGTAACAGCCCCTCCCTTCTGAGTGCCAGTATCCATGGCAACAGTAGAGAATCCTCTCTCCCCAGGCCTGCTAGGAGCCCAGGCCTCAGGTGAGTGCTGGGCACGAGGCTCATGGTTGGGGACACAACTGAGGGTCACAGGCAAAGGGCCATAACCTTTGACTCTTGCTCTAGGCAAGGGAAACAGGAGGAACAGGGAATGTGGAAACATGTTATCTGGGAGTGACCTGCTCCCTGGCCTGAAACACATATTAGGATACCCACACGACTAGCAGTTCCTCATTCTGTGGGGTAGACACACATAGCCTCCTCAGAGTGTGAACATCTATGAACCAGCAGTGCTGGAGAGCCCTATAGGGTGCACACCTGGACACAAGCTATTACCTCTCCCAGCTCCTGAGAAACATCAAGAATGGCCCCGGAGTCTGGCCAGCAATCTGAAGAAAAGCAGGAGCCACGAACCCCAGCAGATGGAGAGCCAGTCAGCAGTGATTTGGGGCTTCCAGCTGGCACACCTACAGACACAGTGGTTCGCCCATGCCCCCAGAACACCAAGACCCACTCCACACGGTTGGCCTCTGTCCACCTACAGTAAGGAGGAAGGGAGGGATGGCCAGGTTTCTGGGCAGGAACAACGACAGGGCCAGGCCTGATCAACAGGGGTACTGGCACTACAGGTTAGCCCCCGAAGCACTGGACCCCCGCACCTTGCGGCTGCTGTGGGAGCAGCGAGAACTAGAGATCCAAGCGCTTAGGTGGGCCATCCGAAATGGGCCACATGCCCGGCACTGTCACATCCTGCAGGAGGTGTCAGGACTTCCATCTGAGAGGTCAGCAGCAAAGCCACCAGCCCAACCCAACTTCTGTCCCATCCTAATTCCTGGTTTCTGTCCTACACCAATTCCAACCACTACTTCGACTCTTACCTGGACCTTTACCTCTGGCCCTAGTCCTTACCTAGCTGATGCTCCACCCAAACCCTGAATGTTACTGTCCTATAAACATTTTTTTTTTAATTTTGTTTTTAAAGAGAGAGAGAGAGAGGTAGAGAGAGAGAGAGAGAATTTTAATATTTATTTTTTAGTTTTCGGCGGGCACAACATCTTTGTATGTGGTGCTGAGGATCGAACCCGGGCCGCACGCATGCCAGGCAAACGCGCTACCTCTTGAGCCACATCCCCAGCCCTGTCCTATAAATTTAACAGCCCTAATCTTGAGCCATTGACCCCTGTCCAGATGGGTCAGGACTTACCTACCCTGCTCTGGCTGGCTGCACTGTGTGCCCTCCGTATGGTGGCAGTGGGACCCCTAATTTGCTGCTCACCTGACCTCACCCCAGCTGACCCAGAGGTAGGGCTACTGAAATTGCCCCTCCTCCAGGAGCTTCCACAGTCCAGACAAGTTTCTACAGGAACAGGTGGAGAAGCTGACCCTGGAGCTGAAAGCACAGAAGGAACAGGCCCAGCTGGTGAGGGGGTGGGGTCAGGAAGTAGGCAGGGCATGGTCTGGGGGGCGGGGCTGCAAGAGGCCCCTAACCTGGTGGCTCCTGAGCAGGAGAAGGAGCACTTAGAGGAGCAGCTGATGCAGACTGTCAGCATGCTGCAGCAACTAGAAGCCCAGCTGCAGGCCTTCCAGAAGTCCTGCCTCCTGCAGTTGGCCTGCTCCTCCTGGGTGGGTCGTGTACTCCGGTCCCCAACTGGCAGTGTGGAGGTGAGCCAGTGCCCAAGGCCCACAAGCCGTCCCTGGCACTTCCTAGGGTGGCCAGTATGGCTCTTTCAGGCAGGTGCCTCTGCTGGTGCTTCTGGCTTGCCTTGGAATCCTGCCCCTTTCAGGCTACTTCTGCAGGGAAGAATCATGTGGCTTGCAGTTTTTCCCACCAAACCTGCCCTGGTGAGGTCAAAGAGGGAGGAGTACTGTCTGGAAGGGGTGATTTCCCCCAGCTCCGCATTTCATTTGGGGGATGGGTGCTGGGAATTGAATCCAGATCTTGGTGCATTCTAGGCAAGTGCTTTACCGCTTAGCTAATCCTCAGTCTCGGTGGTCCCTTCCTGCAGGTGGTTACTGCAGAGACTTTAAGGGATTTCAGTGACTTCTCTGAGAATGAGGCTCCCACTGCTGGAGAGGTGAGCAAGACCCCCCATGTGAAGACTCCACATGCCTGACCAGGATTCTGGAGCCCAGCAGGAGGGCAGAGCCTCAAGCTTTTACTTTCTGACCAGGGTTTCCGGTTGGAGGATATGGACTGGCACAGCATCGCCCTCCAGTACCCTAATCTCTTCAGTGATTCCAGCACAAAGCAGAAGTAACTGCACTGGGCCCAACTCCCCAGGGGCCAGGGGAAATGGGGGGTGGTCTTGGCAGAAATGGACCAAGTACCTGTTCTGTCCTTTGGTGTCCCCAGACAAATCATGTAATCCCTCCAAGCCTCAGCTCTGATCTTAGAGTTAACTAGGGATGAAGGGAAGGGGCTCCTGTCATCACTGCCTGTCATGAGCTGGATCTGGGTCCTGGGCACCCAGAGCACCAGCTGAATTGCCTGCTGCTTTGGGAGGCCGGAAAAGGGTAGAGCCGGTTCCTGGGAGCCAGAGCATCCACTGACCAGAGCATGGCCTCAGGCAGCCCCAGCAGTCCCCATCACTGGGAAAAGGGGGCTCAGATTCCTCTGTCGAGCACCTGGAGAAACATCCCAAGAACCTGGAGTGGAGCTCCCTGCCCTGCATGGCCACCAGCAGCTCCGGAGGTGCTGGCTCTGACTCTAGCAGCTGCCAGCCGGTCGTGCCTTCTAGAGTGCAGAAGGCCTCAGGGTACCCGCCCCAGACAGAAGATTTGGCATCTTCAGAGCAGATCCCCACAATGGCTTGGAGCTTTGGCGGAGATTCGGAAGGTGGAGTGGGGTGCATCTCTTTCTCATCCTCCTATATCCCTCTCCCATCTTCCTCCAGATCCCTAAACCAGGTCCTTTAGTCCCTAGGGTCCAGCCATCTCCCCTGCCAGGGATCTGACCTCTGGCGCTGCTCCCTTCCCTCTTGGACCCCGCCTGCTGTAGGACCATCCGTGTGAGGGCTTCCCTCCCCAAAGGGCTCCTTTCCCTAGATCTCCTGAAAACCCACTCACAACCGCCCAGCAAGACTCCCGAGGATCCCTGCACAGCCCCTGGCCACCGGCGTGTCAGTCACCAGCTGAGGTGAGGGGGACGCCCAGCCAGGACTTACGGGCAGCTGTCCAGGTGGGCGGAGCCCTTCATCAGGCCCTGCCCTGCACCCCTCCCCGCCCCAGCCCCACTGGCTGCTGCCTGAAGATCGTGGCAGTCAGCCCACAAGAGAAGTTCGTCCGAGTCCTTAATGAGTCGCGGGAAGAGACAGTCGACCTGGACGGCTTCTTGCTGCAGCAGCTGGAGCGCGGCTTCCCGGTGTGCCTGTACCGCTTCCCGCCGGGCACACTGCTGGCGCCGCAGCACCACATCACGGTGGGCCCTTCTGTCCGTGAGCCCACCTGACCCTGTCATTGCCTGCGGCGCCCCTCAACCAGTGCCCTCTGCCATCCCCAGGTGTGGGGCCAGGGGACCAGCAGCACCAAGAAGCAGCCCCCCTTGTCCTTGGGCCAGGACGCTGGCCTCTTCCACCCCAGCCTGGGCTGCTTGACGCTCCTCCTGAATCCCGAGGGCCAGGTTCGTGCCGGCCCAGGCCCAGGAGGGGCTCGGGTGGGCCCTGGCGGGTGAGGGTGACAGAGCTGCCCCTGCTGGCCCCGGCAGGTCCTCAGTGAGCACCAGACTCCACACCGTGTGACTTCAGGCTCAAGGATCTTCACTGACAACACTGACTGGTCCATTGACCGCTTCCCACTCTCCAAGGCCCCGCCTGGCCCAGACACAAGCGGACCCCGGAGCCGGCCCCGACCCCCGGGGAAAAGCCGGGTGCGGGAGACCGGCGCCCGGCGGCGGAGGCCTGGGTGGGCACCCCGAGAGTCCCTCCATCCTGTCCCAGCAAGACCCATCGCAACCCCCTTCAGGAGACCCCTACCCCACCTTCTGCCTTCTAGGCCTGGCCTCCACTAGAACCACTTCCTGGACTAGTACTCTCCATGATCAACACCTACCTCGCCAGCCCCCACCCAGGACCCCTTACCAGGACCCCTGCACACCCCTGCAAGCCCCTGTACCTCCCCACGTTTGGAATCCCTTTAATGAGCCTCTTCCTGGCAGGCTGTGGCCTCACACCCCCTTGCCTCCCAGGATGCGGGATATCTTGCCACTCCTAAGCACCTGTCGGCCTTTCCACCTGCCAGAGGTGCCCACGAGGCCAGAGGACAGCCACTCTGAGACTCTGGAGCTCCTGCCTCCCATCATCCCTGGTGAGCAAGCCCAGAGGGAGGGGTGAGCGGGCAGCGAGTGGGCTGGGCTGACCCCATAGCCATTGTCCCAAACAGAGGCTGGGCTGTGTCCCCAGGACTGCCCCACCAGGAAGGAGTGCAAGGTCCGGGTGAGTGCGTGCCCTGCTGTCCCTGGCAGACACTGGTTCCCACTGGCATGCCAGCTATCCCTCCCCATCCACACCTCCACCCACAGCTTTCAGGCCCTGATGCTCCCCAGGTGTGCCGGAAAAATGTGGACCGAAGCTGCCCCATGGTGACCCTCTCAGTGCAGAGCACAGCTGAGAGTAGATATGGCTTCCGTTTCCTCAGCTGTCCCCCCATCACTGTGGACACATGCCGACGGGTGTAAGGCAGCAGGGCCAGGCAGCAGTGCCAGCTGCATAATTTATTGAACCAATGTTGCCTACAAAGTAAACTGCATTTCTGTAAACCTGAAAGTCGAAAATGATTCTCTTGTTTTTTGGGGCATCCTGCCCCCAGAGGAGGGACCTGCACCTCCCAGCTTCTCAAGGGAAACCCCACAAATCCACCAGGGATGGGAGGCCTGGCTTTGCCCATAGCAGCCTAGGGCAAGCAGGTGGGACCCTGGGCTGCATCAGTGGAGAGAGTGGTTCGCAGCCCTGAGGCTCCTGGAGAGCCCAGCTCCAGGTCCTGCCGCCTAGCCCAGTCTGCCTCTTACCAGGCCTGCCCCTTTGACCATTTCTCCTGGGAAGGCTAGGCCCCATGCAAGGGTGGGCAGCTGAGCAGTGATGGGGAGCTTGGGCTCTCCCTACCTGGACCTAATGTCTGTTCTGGCCTCTGATACCTGCGGACTGGTCCCAACTTCAGGTTCCTCTCTGCACCAAAAGGGGCCTCTTCAGGGCCAAACCCACCCTCCATCCCCACACCTGCCTAGATGCTCCAGGGTCTATGAAGACAGAGTCCTTCTGGGGCTCCCATGACCTCACTGGCACCCCTTGGCCCCAGTCCAGGTGAACCTGGCAGTTGGTGGGGGCTTACACTAAGGGAGGGAGTGGGTGGGGGTGATAGGGTTCAGGTGGAGCAGGTAGCAGAGGCCTGGATGTCTGGCTGCTGGGTCTCCTGTTGGCTTTGGGTCTGGGTACCCCTGGGCTCAAGCACTGAGGCCTGAGGTTACCTCCAGGGCTCCCACACAGGCTGTCCAGTGCTCTGAGCCTTCGCCCTCTGAAAGACAGGACTGCAGACCCCCTGGGGGAGCTGCTTCCAGAGTCAGGTGGCATTGGGCACTTGGGAGCAGAAGGGATCAGGTGAAATCCCACGGTTCTGGAATGCTCTAGAAAGCCAGAAACAAGGCAGCCTGTCAGCGAGGCCCTGTCAGACAAGTAGGCTAACCTGTCTGTGGTCCTGCAGTCTAGAGGTAGGTAGGTGGTGGCCTGCTGGGGGAGGTGGCCCACCGTGGCCCCCGCAGGCGGCAGCACCCCTCCTCCCATGCCACCCCTTCTGCCCTATTTCCTGTGCTCCTCAGGGAAGCTCTGTCCCCCAGCCATCTTGCTTAGACCAGCCCTCTAAGGCAGGCACAGAGGCCACAAAGCCTGGACTCTGGCTTTGGGTCATCTGGGTCTAATTCCTGAGGCTCGGCTCACAGGCTAATGACCTCAGGCCAGTTCCTAATCTTCTGTTGTAGCGTGAGGCAGGTGTCAAGGGTCACCCAGTGCCCACCTGGACCTGGCACTGTCCCATATTGCCCCTACTTCATACTCCAGCTACCCTTCCTTCTGGCCACCCTGCTTGCCTTCCTTAAAGCCCTGCTGTCCTTGTCCACTGAGTGGTCAGCTGTGGTTCCCTCCTGGCTATCTCAGGCACCCTGCTTGGGTATCAACCCCAGCCCATGGAGGGCAGCCTGTCCCCAACGCTGAGAGTTGCTCTGCTGACTTTTAAGTCTCTGCTCCTGTTGCCCCTGCCTGTCCCTCCTTAGGTCTGCCTGCTGATCTGCGTTTAGGGCCTTTCTGCTTTGGTCTTGGGCACTCTGAATCCAGGGTCCCTCTGCCAGAGCACTGCCTGGCTTGACTCGGCATGTCCTCAGCCCAGCGTGGGTCCTGTCTGGGGTGAGGTGGGGGTCCTTCCCTGCCTTGGTCTCCCACAGGGCCTGGGGGCCTCTCTCCCAGTGCCGGCCATGAGAACTGGGCATGTCCAGTGGCACATCTGCTTGTAGATGGCCCTGGCTCATCTGTGTCCCCACCTAGTATGCCGCCTCCTTTGGTGCGGACTCCTTTGGACTTGGTCCACACCCCTTACGGAAGGACTTTCTCTCATCCAGCCCAGGCAGCCTTGAGGTCCAGTGGCCTCCCAGAGCCCAGCTGAGGAATGGGCCATACCTACACAGGCTGATCCTGAGGTTTGGGGCTCCTGTCCCCAGGTGGGCAGCACCTGACAAGTGGATCACCCACCTGTGGGGAAAGTACCTGAGGCCAGGCTCATGGGACTAGGGACAGTCTTGGGTCCAATCTGGTCCTCTTGCTCTTCAGGGGCCCTCCATGGGTCCCGGGGGGCTGCAGCTCCTTCCTGCTGGGACTCCGTCTGCCTGTGGGGCTGGGGACTGAGGGAGGGAGAGAGGGAAGCTACAGCCCCTCTTGGGCCCAATTCCAGATGGGTTCTGTGACCAACTCAGATCATCTGGGTCCAGTGACTGCACAGTCAAGGCACCCAAGCCCAAGCCCAAGCCCCACCCCCACAACAGAAAGGGTGCACAGTTGAGGGGACTGGGCAGGGGAGGAGCACTTACCACAGGCCAAGCTCCCTCCAGGCCTGAAGCCCCACCACAGTTAGGAGGTCACAGGTGTCCGCAGGGCCAGGCCCTGGGGTGGAGGGGCTGGTGGCCAGATGTGACTTGAATGGAAGTAGCTGTTCCAAGGGTGCCCAGTCCTGAGGAAGAAAAGAGCTGGTTTGGGAACCCTGGCCTAGGACTGGCAGGAGCCCTGGACCCTGGTGCCCAGTGCAGGAGGGGCTGTGTGATGGTCCATTGTGTGGGGGACGGTCCCCACCCACTTTGAAGGGTGGAAGGTGTACCTGGTTCTGACGCCTGCGTTCCCACAGGCCTTTGGTGGGGTTCCCGCAGAGGACTTGGCCGGCACCTGGAGGAGAGGGCATGTGATGGGTCTGCTTTGGGGTCAGGGGGATGTGGGGTCAGGCCAAGGTGGGTCAGTTACCATGAGTGAGGCTGCTGGTGTGGTCTTCTGGGGCCATGTCCTTGGGAAGCAGGCGTTCTGGCAGGACGCCCCCAGGGACCAGCAGGGACAGGGCCCAGGGCTGGGTCTCAGGAAGGGAGAATGCTGGATCAAGTCTCCGGATAATGGCTCCATGGGAAACATCTGCCCAGGTCAGAAACAGAGGTCACTAGGGCCCATGCCAGCTGGCCAGCCCCAGCCCACAGAACACAGCTCTCACCCCTGAGAATCTCTGAGCCCTAAGGATGGCCTCTGATGGTCCCTTCCTTCAAACTCAGACCTCCTCCCTCTCTGATAAATAGAGAGGCCCGCTGGTGTTGACCAAAGGGACAGCATCCTGGCCTGGAGGCCCATGTGCCTGTGCTGGGGGCCAGGGGTTAAGGCTGGGGGAGGGCACAAGGTGTAGCTGTCCATCTCTGAGAGGCCTGGGGTCTAGGGGAGGCCTCTCCTGGAGTGGGGTACTGCGGCACAGGGCAAGGTTTCCAGGGGGGTATCTGCTCTACCTTGTCGGGGGAGGAAACTGTCCAGCACTCGGCCTTCCTTGATGGCCTCCTTCACTATGAGCCAGTCCTGGCTCAGCTCCTGGGTGGCAGGCAGGTCAGTGTGCATGGTGGACACCTCATCTAGCACTTGTAGCTGGGGGATGAGCTTCCTCACCTCCACCCTGTAGTTGTAATCCTGGGGTGCCTACAGTATAGAGGGAGGGAATCAGGCCTGGGCCCATAGGCCCTTTAGGCCACTTGTGTCCTAGAGCCCCAGATCCCTGTGGGGCAGGACGGAGGGGTCAGGGTGACCCTGCTGGACCCTAGGGACAACAGGGACTGAGTTCTCGCCTATCCAGCAATGCTTTCTGGCCCACCAAGCTGCGCTGGGCTCAGGTTTCTGATTCAGTTGAGCAGCCACTGTGCACTGGATGGATTCTGGTCCCAGCCAGTAGCACCACCACGTGGCAGTCGTTGGGATGGGCAGGGTGGGGTCAGGGCCTGAGGGTCCAGTGCTCCCCAGGCCTGTGGTGTGTATGTGGCAGGCTCACGCAGAGCACACACAAGCCCATTATGTGAGTGCACGCCCTCCTGGTGTGGTGGGCCTGTGGGGGGCAGTGGTCTGGGTGGCTCCTTGTGACCTGTGTACGTACCCCACAGGCTGTGGGCATGGGTTGGGTGGCACGGCACATGCACGTGTGATCCTCGTGGGGTCTGGTGGAATGGCTCAGGAGGTAGCCTGGCCGCACTCAGGCCTCCAGTGATAGAAAAGGTGGAGCTCGTGGTGAAGAAGCCCTGGGATGCAGTGGACACAGAGGCCCTTGGCCCATGGGCCCCTCCTAGCACGCACACCTTGTTGAAGTGTCCAGGGGCTGGCTGCAGGCACACCGGGTTGCCCTCCAGGGTGAGTGTGGTGAGCTGCGGGCACAGCCGCAGGCTGCACACCTGCCCCAGGTCCTCCACGCTGTTGCCTTCCAGGTCCAGCACCTCCAGCTGCTCCAGCAGGCACAGTGGGCTCAGGTCCGAGATGTCATTGTAGGAGACGTAGAGTTCCTGGGTTGGCATGGGGACTTCAGCTGGGTCTGACCCGGGCCCAACCCTACCCCAGATGCTGCAGACCCACCTTTAGCACGGGGAAGGAGCCAATGCCATCCAGGTCTGTCAGGCCACAGCGAGCTAGCCACAGCACCTGCAGGTGGCTCAAAGAGGTGCCGAGGTCTCTGCGGAAGGCAAGGCAGGACGGTCAGTCTGTCCTGGACTGGAGGGCCCTGTCTTTGGCCAGAGAAGGCCTTTGCCCAGCCCAACCCCCAGTTTGGCTCCCCCTAAGCACAGGAACAGTTGTGACTGAGGAAGGGGCTCCAGAGTCCCCCTCCCTGTCTGCCCCTTCTGGTCTCTGGCATGGTCAGAATTTCCCCCACCTGCTCTGACCACTGGAGGGTCTAGGCCTGGCCCAAGGGAGTTGCCTCTACCCTGGACAGCTTGACCCAGCCCTACCTGTGCCTACTGCCATCCCTTCCTGTCCAGCCTCTGCTGCAGCCCCAGGGCCTCCCTGCGTCCCTGCAGCACATCACAGGGGCCCACATGCCACCTGGAGCCACACTTGCCGCTCTGCCCAAGGGGACGCTCTTTCTCCAGGGTCTGCAGTGCCGGTCTGTTCCCTTCCTCTCCATGAAAAGGCCTCCTCAGTGTGGGGCTCTCTGCGAACAAGCGAGACTCTTCCGCACCTGGGCAGCTGCGTGCCTCTTCCTCCAGCTCCTGGCTCCCCTTCGTGAGGTCTCACCCACCCTGTGTCCCGTCAGGGTTTTTTACTTTTCCTGCAGGGTTGTATTTCCCGATATCCACACTTGCTCTGTTCTCTTTCAGTTGTAAATTCATCGTTGGTCCTGTCTTTTGCTTTAAATGGCTTTTCCATCAGCTCTTCCCTTGCTGGCATTTGTGCCAGCTGCCTCCTTCAGGAGGCTCAGACTCCACAGCTCTAACTCCTGGCAGGTTCCCTCTGAGGCTGCAGCCTGCCCTGCAGGGGCCTAGTGGGAGGGGTCTCCTCTCACCCTCTTTGGCTTCAGGAGTTTCCATGGGGAAATCTGAGGAAAGACTCACTTTTGTCCTTACAGGTAACTTGACCTCTGTTTTTCATATCTGCCCAAATTCCTGCCTTTGCCTGGAAGTCCAGTAATTTCATTTCTCAGAGCCAGTGCTGGACATGTCCCTCCTCTCCAACTGCAGATGAAAGACTGCTTTTACTTCTGACACGTGTCCTGAATTCCTGACATGATTTTTTCTGTTTTCTTGTTTCAGTTCATCTCTGCAGGAATTCACCTGTGCATGAATCTTCTCTATCTCCCTCTCTCGATCCTTCTGAACTCCATTCATCGACAGTGAACTGCATTCCCCACCCTACATCTTGCAGGTTACAAGCCTTTCCTGAGGCGTGGCTGGTTGTCCGGATCCCCGGGAGCTCTATTGCTTGGGTCCACCCCTTCAGAGCCTGCAGTGACCTGTGGTTCAGAGCATTCTGGTGGGTGGCTGTGGGTGACCTTGTTTTTTTCTGGTGGTCACATGACTTCTGTTGTCATAAAGGAATGAGCATCAGGGAACAACTTGGATCCAATAACAGGAAAATTATGAGATACTTTGAACTAATGACAAGAAGTAAAACATAGGCCATTTGTGGGTCCTGCCCAAGGTAGCAAGTGAAGAGGAATCCAGGTCTTTGAATGGATTTATCAAAAAGCCAGGAGGGTTGGAGCAATTGAGCCAAGCCTTCGCTCAGGGCACTAGAGACAGAAGGACCTAGGAAGGAAGGTCTGACGGAGTGAGGCTGGACCAGCCCCAGGAGCCCCAGAGCCCCAGAGCCCCAGAGACACAGAGACAAGGGACAACGGGCAGCCCAAAGCAGGTTCTCCTGACAGACCTCTACAAATGACCAACAATAAGAAAAAATAAATCCAGACAGTTTAAAAAGAAGCATGATGACAGCCCCAGCCGGAATGTGAGACAGCAGAGGCCACGTGAAAAGGCATGTCCAGCAGCTCTGAGCACTAGAAAAGCAGCAGTACAGAGAACGGGGTTAGACCCATGTCATTTAGGAAATCTCTAGCTCTGAACCGATTTTAAAAGTATATTAAAAGCATCCTGGAATAGATAATTTCTATATTTTAAGATATTTTTTCATTCAAGAAGTTTCAAAAAATAGAGGAATTGGCTGGGTGTGATGGTGCACACCTATAATCCCAGGGACTCAGAAGGCTGAGGCAGGAGGATCACAAGTTTGAGGCCAGCCTCAACAACTTAGTGAGACCCTGCCTCAAACTAAAGGGGGACTGGGAATGCAGCTTAGTGGTAGAGCACTTGCTTAGTATGCATGAGGCCCTGGGTTTAATCCAGTAATAAAATATAGTAGAGCAACTTTAATAAGAACAAAAAAACCAGAAGAGACACTTCATGAGTCAGTTCTTGATTCCAGAACCAGAAAAGTATAGTAGTAGGAAATGAAAGAACCAATACTTATGGAAATAGATGTGGAACTTCTCAGTCAATGTCCCTTTAACATTACAGTTAATTTAAAACAACTCAGCACAGTCCAGTAGTGTCCATGGATAAATCACCACCACTGCATCTACTGAGAGAACTCGGGGTACCCGTGGCCTGGGGGCAGTTTCACCTGGGGTCATGTGCCCCCTGCCACACTTATTAGATATGGAAAATGAAAAAACCCAAACTAGTGAGGCCTGGGAGAAGGAAGTGAAAAAGAAAGGCATACATTGATAACGTTTGTCTCTTCTAAGAGCAATCCGGGAGAAGTGTTCCTTCAAACCTAGAGTGAGTCTCTAGAAACACTCATCTCTTCCAAGATAACTCCTCTCCAGGTGCTGGCCGTCGACCCCCAAACCCCAAACCCCAATTCCCGAGTGCCCAGACTGACCTGCTGAATAAATCACCCGTGACCTGTATGAGCCCAGTCCCCCCTTTGTTCAGAGGCTCATTCTCCACCAGGAGATGGTCCATTAGAACCATGACTCCATTCCTGAATCAAGGTTTTTGGCTGCTCTGTGAAGGTTGCCCAGTCTTCTTGTGCTAACCACCCTGAGCCAGCCAGGACCTGCTGTGCCACTGTCAACACGGTTCTGATGGCCTGGCTGGAGATGAGCAGCCAGAGCCTGGGACCGGAATGGAGAGCCAGAGCTACAGAATTTGCTGCTGCTACGAGGGTCACACAGGAGCCCCAGATGAATTGGTCAGATGTGGGAACGAGGACAGGAGCTCAGCAAAACTGTCAAATACAGCACAGTCAAGACAAACAAAGTGCTTCTATTGATTTTTTTTGGGGGGGAGGGGCAGGGAATTACAGGCGTGTGCACCATGCTTGGCTGTTTCTTTTGATTTTTGAAAGTGATTCTAAGTCAATATAGCATTTCTCTATATTTGCAATAAACAAAAATACAACAGAAACAAGACTCTATTCAAGATGCCATTCGTACTGTGCTGTGAAGATGCTGCTTTAGAGGAACTGGGCCCCCCAACTCTGTCCCAGTGTGGGGGTTCTGGTTGTTGCAGTCACAGGCCTACTCCCTTGCCAGTGGTTGGAGTGGGCACTGTGTGTGCTGTGGCTCTTGGCACAGGGCATGAGGAAGAATGCTGGGATTTGTTCTGCCTACTCTTTCCAGGAGACAGGGGCACATTCTCTGCTCTGAATGAATGTCCCACAAAGTCCTATGCTGGCATAGACCAATGGAACAGAATAGAAGGCAGACAAACCCATACTGCTGCAGCCATCTGATTTTCTACAAAGGTACCCAAAGCATACACTGGAGAAGAGACAGCCTTTTCAATAAAGGGTGCTAGGAAGACTGACTATCCCCTGCACAAACATCAACCCAAAGTGGATCAAAAGACCTCCAAGTTAGACCAGAAACTATGCAACTCCCAGAAGAAAACATAGGGTCAACACTCCAGCCTTTAAGCACAGACCACAACGTTCTCAACAGGACCCCTAAAACTCAGGAGTTAATTAATGGGATGGCACCAAATTAAACAGCTTCTGCACAGCAAAGGAAACAATTAGGAATGTGAAGAGAGAATCCATAGAATGGGATAAAATCTTTGCCAGCTACTCTTCTGACAGATATTGATATCTAGAATATTAAAAAGAACTCAAAAATTTGACACCACATAACCCAATTAATAAATCGACAAATGAGCTAAACAGACACTTTTCAAAAGAAGTAGTACAAATGGGCAACAAATCATGGGAAATGTTCAGCATCATTAACAATTAGGGAAAGGCAACTCAGAACCACACTGAGCTGTGGCCCACACCCGTCAGGAGGGCCGCCATCAAGGTGTGAACAACACATGCTGGAGGATGCGGGAGAGGAACCCTTTACACTGTGGGTAGACTGTGAATCGGCACGACCCCCGTGGAAATCAGTAGGGAGGCTCCTAAAAGACCAGGCAGGGACCCTCCACGTGACCCAGCTGTCCCACTCCTCGGTATTGACCCTGGAGAGTCAGAGTCATCTCACTACAGTGACACACACACACCATTCCCAGCAGCCAGCCCAGGTGTCCCTCGATGGACCGGTGGATAAAGAAAAGAGGTGTATATACACAATGGAGTTTTAGTCATAAATGAAAGTATGCCATTTGCATGGAAATGGATGGAACTTGAATTTTGTTTTAAAGATTGCAGTAAGTTATACTAAGAGAGAGGGGAGGGAGGGAGGGAGGGAGGGAGAGAGAGAGAGAGAGAGAGAGAGAGAGAGAGAGAGAGAGAGAGAGAATTTTAATTTATTTTTTTGTTCTCGGCGGACACAACATCTTTGTTTTGCAGGTGGTACTGAGGATCGAACCTGGGCTGCATGCATGCCAGGCAATCGCACTACCGCTTAAGCCACATCCCCAGCCCACTTGAAAGTATTGTGTTAAGTGAGATAAGCCAAGCTCAGAAGGTCAAGGCCCGAGTGTTTCTCTCATATGTGGAAGCTAGAGAGGAAAAATGAAAAGGAAGAGGGGGGCAGATCTCATGAAAACCAAAGGAAGGTTAGTACAGCAGAGGAAGGGCCAGGGGAGAGAGGTCTAGAGGGAGGGATGTTGGCTAAATGTATGGATAGATTGTGTACATGTACCAATACGGAACAGCAAATGTACTCCTCCTTACAACTATAATGCACTGGTCAAAAATATAGAAAAAATAAAGCCCTTGGGGCTGGGGATGTGGCTCAAGCGGTAGCAAGCTTGCCGGGCATGTGTGGGGCTCTGGTTTAGATCCTCAGCACCACATAAAAATAAAATAAAGATGTTGTGTCCACCAAAAATTAAAGAATATTAAAAAATTATCTCTCTCTTAAAAAAACAAAACAAAACAAAACAAAAAAGCAAAGCCCTGTGCTGAAGTCCTGACCCCAGCACCCTAGAGGGTGCCCTCACTTGGAAACAGGCTGGTTGCAGAGGTAACAGAGATGGCAAGTTCACCAGGGAAGACCCCTCTCCAGCATGACAGGTGTCCTTGTGAATAGGAGAAGTCTGCCCGAAGACACACGCAGGGCGCACATCACGTGACAACGTGACGATGGAGCCAGAGGTTGGGTTACGTTCCCATTGCATAAGGAAGAGGGGCCGAGAAGCCGAGAAGCAGAGACAGCCCTTGCAGCCCGGGCGGAGCCAGTGCCCCACACCTTCAGCTCTGCGCCCAGAGCTCAGCGTCGGGCCTCCAGCCCACTGTGTCGTTCTCTGGCTTGTGGTCCTTTCTCACAGCAACACTAGTCCACCAGGGTTAAGAAGCCTCTTCCCCATGAGGGGACAAGCACAGTGACAGGCTACACCTCCTGTGGAGGGGAGCCAAACCTTTGGCTGGACTGAACTGTGACTTGTGGCACCCCCTCACTGCAGAGCCCAGACGCCTTGCCTCCCCAAGCAGGGTGCTGTGCACAGGTAGAGAGCACCCTGACCCACAGGCTTCCCAGCAGAGGCTTCAAATGCTTTCCAAAATACAGGAAGAGCACGTGAGTGGAGAAGCGTCCGTGTGTTGGATGTATAACCCCCATGTTAGCATGCAGATCTTCTTAAATGTCAATAAAAATTCTAGAGAGATTAGTGTGTGCATGGGTGTGTGTGTGTGTGTGAGTGTGTGTATGTAAGCTCAAGGGCCTGATTGTAAAATTCAAGTGCAAGAATAAGTATTCAGGACTAGAAGGGCAGTGAGGATGAGGTTTGGCATGTATCCGGAGGACAGTGTGGCGTTGGGAGTGGAGTGGCAGCTGGCACCTCATGCAGGTGTTTGCATACACACACGGCCTGACCTGCACCAGACAGGACTCTAGTTAGGGAACGACAGGTGGCCTGGCAGACGGACCCACCACACAGTGAAAGCAAGCTGGTCCCTACCTCCTGCCACCGTCAGTGGTGACTTTGCAGTTCACTGGGTTAAAGGCCTGAAAGGCAGAGTGAGACCACACAGCAGACAGAAGATAAAGCAAAATTTTTGCAGCCTGGGGTGTGCATGACCAGAGCTCTGGCCAGAATTGACAGATTGGGACAAATCAAAATGAAGGCTGAGGGAAAAATCTTAGAGTCTTAAGTACACCCAGAATACACACAGAACTCCCATAAATCAATAAGGAAGGACAGAATTCACCCAAAAAAGCGAGCGCAGGGTAAGTGAAGGGAGGCCCGACTTCTCCAGCGAGGAGGGATGCGAGAGCCACGGGGGTGCAGGGAACTTGCCCAGGTCACCTGTGGAGCTCCTGGGCATGGTCTTGGCTTCTCGCCTGGGAGCGCACAGTGGCAGCCGTGCGCCTGAGCCCTGCCAACACTCTGTTCTCTCTGCTGAGCCAGAGGCTGGGTCCCGGCAGCCCACGGGTCGAGGACACTTGTCTTCATGCCTGTGATGTTCCTGGGGCTGGATTCTCTCAACTTCTGAGGAACTGACAACTGCTACACTACAATCATCTCCCGCTGCCAGGCGCAATGTCTACGCCTGTCACCGCAGCAACTCAGAAGACTGAGGAGGCAGGAGGATCCAGGATTGAGGCCAAGCCTGGGCAACTTAGTGAGACCACGTCCCCAAACAGAAAATGAAAAGTGCTGGGGTATGGCTCAATGGTAGTCGAGCCTGCGTGGGCCCTGGGTTTTGTCCCTAGCTCTGGAAAAACAACAACAAAAAAAACCCCAGCCTGTCTTCCAGCCCTTATAATACTGACATGGGGTGTCTGCAACAGCTGCAGCTGGCTGAGCTACAATAGCTAAGTGATACGCTTATGTTTCACCTCCACCACGCCCGGGAGAGTGGCCCTATTTAATCAGTTTTGTTTGAGAAATTCCTCTTCATTTTCAACCTGTAGAAGCTGGTAAGCACCATTTGGCCAAGTTTCAAGATCTGATAAAGGGTCACTACGTGCTTCTCCCCTCCCTCTTCTCTCTCTCTTTTTCAGGACTGGCAGTTGAGTTCAGGGCTGCTCTACCACTGAGCTGCACTCCAGACCTTTTATTTTGGGACCGGGTCTTCCTGAGTGGCCCAGGAGGGCCCTGAACTTGTGACCCTCCTGCTCTGACTCCCGAGTGGCTGGGATGATAAGCATGGCCACTGTGCCTGGACCTGGTCACTCTACTTTTCACTACAGTTATCAAAGAACAGCATGCACTGTCATAGAATTGAAGGTCTGGAACCCCTTGGACTGTCCCGTTTGTTCCTGTGGTGTCACAGATTCCTTAGTTTTAAGTCACTGGCGCTGTCTTTCCTGGTTTCCATCTTCATTGGTTTTCCGTTTCCGAGGTGTGCTGGGGGAGGGTTGCCTGTGTCTCTCCTGTTCCGTGGAGCTGGTGCTGGCTCTATAGGCCATGGCTAGGGCAACAGCTTCTGATTCTTTCCCTGTATCAGATATTTGCATGTTTTGTTAAATTCTATTTGATGTCTATTTGCTATTTGATGTCTATTTAGGTATAAATAAATAAAATTTAAAAAAATTAAAAAGCAACAGTGAGGTTGCATAATAAATACCTTTATCATCTCAACTGGAAATAACTGGATATGGCATGTGGAGCCAATTCAGAGACGTGGAGAACTTTCCAGAATTCTGGCTGAAACTCCCCTGCCTTAAGTTGCCGGGCTCAGGCACACAAGACAGGCAGCATTGTCACAAAGACTCCTTGGCTCAGACCCCAGAGCAATGCCAGATATTTCTCTGGTCTGTTCTTTCCAGTTCAATGAGATAAAAAACTGAAAGCTTGTCTCTTTTTGAATGCCACCCTTTGAGCCAACTGTTCTGGAGCTCTGGTGTGTGCCGGGCCCACCTCAGGAGTGGCGCACTCTGCGTGGTCTGTGGTCTGGCCCTCGGGGAGGGTGGCTGCAGGCTGTGCCCACCTGCTCTCCCTGCCAGGCTCACCAGCTGCCTGCCCTGCTCCAGCCCTCACAGTGCAGCTGACAGCCAGGGCTGAGGCCAGGGGTCAGGGTCCCAGGCCCCTCAGGGCTGAGGTTGCTTTGCGGTGTCTGCCAGAAGCCCTCACAGGTCAAGGTCTCTTTTCATGGGTTGGTGAGCACCTTGGGGCTCGTCAGCCCCAGGACCCAGTATCCTCACCCTGACCCAGGCCTGGAGCTCTGGGTGTGCTCCACAGTCCCACGGAGCAGGTGCCTCCCACAAATGGGGGTGAGAAGAGTCAGGTGTGCCAGCCTGGACCCACAGGGCTGAGGCATGAGGGCCAAGAGCCAGGGGCCACAGGACCCCAGGGGGCACGGCCCCTGGGGGACCGGGCTGGCCAGGGTTCAGACTCATCTTCTCAACAGGGACCCCTCAGTAAAGACCCTGCCCCTCGGGAGACACCCCCACCTTGGAGGGAGCCCACACCCCAAAGAATGTCCCATTACCCTTCCTTGTGCCCCAGGGAGTTAGCAGCAGGAGCCTGTCTCCCTGGGCAGCCAGCAGCTTGAGGCTGAGCTCTGGGCCACTTGTCCTTGACCCAGCCCAGCCCCACAGACCCCTGCCCCAGCCCTTAAATCACCACCCCACCCCACTGCCTCGGCAGGACCCTGGCTCAGGCCCTTCACTCACCTGAGGGAGCTCAGGCGGCTGCCGTTCAACTTCAGCTGGTCCAGGTTGGGCAGGTGGACTCCTGTGTGTCACAGGAGGAGCGCTGGGCCTGGCCCTCACCCTGCCCACCCTCACTCACGCCTCCTCCCAGACACAGCACCCCTCAGCCCCGTTGCTCCCCAATGCTGCAGGACCAGCCTCTGGGCAGAGCATCTCACCACACTGTGGGGGGTGGTACTGTTGACCAGCTGTCTCCCTGCATCCTGGATGGGCAGGCGGGGTGGCTCCTCTAGCTGTCAGTGGGCCCTATTCTGTGGGGCCTGCTTCAGGTGATCCGAGCACTCTGTTCCCCAACCACTGAGGGGCCACAATCCCACACAGCCTAGCCGGAATAAAGCACATGCCTCACTAAGTGGCTTAGAGCCTAAGTTGCTGAGGCTGGCTTTGAACTTGCGACCCTCCTGCCTCAGCTCCCTGAGCTGCTGGGATTACAGGCCTGCTCCACCTCACCCAGCATAAATCAGGAATTATTTCAAAATAAGTTTTGGGAGCACCTGCCACCAAGGTGTGGTATCTGGTGGGCACGTTTTAACCTTCACTACTTGGCGATGCTGGCATGGGTGTGGGAGCAGAGTCCTTCTGAGGGCAGTGTGGAACATGAACCACAGCCTAAACCTCTGCCCCTGCCTGGCTCAGATCTGGGTCCGTCCAAGGTGTCTGCCAACATCACCTTCAGAGCCAGAAGGACGTTTCACAGAGGGGCTGGCCTCCACCACGGTGGGCAGGGCAGGCCCTGGACAGGCAGTGCTTACCGAAGTTTCCCAGGCTGCTCTCACGGGTGTCCACACACATTTCCAGCACCCGCACCAGCTGGAGGTTGTCCACCTGGGCCAGGACCCGCTGCAGATACCAACAGGGGCGTCACTTCCTTCCCGTTTCCTTCACACCTTTGGCAGTGGGGCTCTGAGGCCCACGGAGCAGGTGACATGTACGGCCCTGAATCACCACATCAATCCGGGCCAGCAATGGCCCGGCTGGCAGAGTGCAAGTAGATGTGACCTGAGTAGTGGTGGTGACTGGGGTTGGTTGGAGGCCACTGCCAGGGAAGGGCCTGTTCTCGGGGTGAGGCTGTAAAGGAGACCTTGCAAACAGACCCAAAGCACAGGCACCAGGAGCTAGCTCTGCCAGGCACGCTGGCTACAATCTGTGGGCAAGCTGGCATGCTCTGAGCCACATCCTGGGCCCCTGCTGGTCACTCTGTGCTGGGTCTCCTCAACAAGGTATCTCCTGTGTGTGCAATATAAGTGTGGCCTGCAAGATCCTGGGCCCCTACTTGCTGTGGGGTTAGTGGGAACCTCAGGGACGAGGTAGACCTGCAGGTCATTTTGAAGGATGGCCTGGGTGACGGGTGATGCTTACACCTGAGGGAGTCCTCTCCCCCGAGGTAGCCAATGATGCATAGGAGGTCCTGTATAGGGGAGATACAGTGTTTCCCAGGAGGACTCTGCAGATCTTCTAGAACTCAGGGTTAGGGTGCAACAGTGAGTCCTCACACAAGGTTTTGGGAGAAGACTCCATCTGATGCCCAGGCACAGTCAGTGCACTCGCATGGCCCCCACCTCATCCTAAAGGTCTGATGGGTTGGGAAGGGCATGAGAGCCCTGGCCCTGGGAAAGCAGGCCACAGACCATCTCCAGACGGCCCAAGGGAGGCACTCCAGTGGGGGCACTCATGTCCAGCCAGCTGCCTGCAGGCACAGCCCCCTTCTAGGCCTGATTCTCTGCACCTTGCTCTTCTGTCTTGCCACCAGAGCACCCACTGGTGGAGTGAGAAGCCTCCTCTGGTTCCAGGACAGTGGTCTCAACAAGCACTTACAGAATCCTGGCCTGTCAGGACCTGGGAACATCTGCCATCTAGGGCTGGTGGTGCTTTGGGGGCTGGTAGGTCCCAAGATTAGAAAGGTAGAGGGCCCCTAGCTGTGACGGCTGGGCTGAGGGCAGGCTGGGTATCAGCAGAAAAGGGGCTCAGGACGTCACCTTATGCAGGCCCCTGTGGCCAGAGCTCCTGGCCTCTGACACTTACCAGTCGAGCAGGGGACAGGTGCTCCAACAGTTGCTCCCTGCAGCTGTCCCCATGGCTGCCCAGGGACCTGCTCTGTGGGCAGGGGTTGTGCAGGCCCTGCCAACTCAGCTCACGTACATGGACACTGGCTGTGTGTGGCCGAGGCCCCTGGGATCCATCCCGGGCTGGGTCCATCCACATCCAACCTGCTGGGAGAGGCAGAGGGCAGGGCCTCCAACCTTCTGTTCCTGCTCCTACCTGAGGCCGAGTGAGACCCTGCATAACCGCAACGGGGTCCTTACTCCACCAGGGTCCCAGCCTGGCCTTGCCTAAGGGGCTCGGCTTAGCTTTACCCCACCTGGTAGCCTCACGGTCCCTCCCTTAGCTTTGACTTAGGCCTCTTGCCCAGGCCCGTGCTCTCAGGGTCCATGAAATGAGTGTTGGCCCATGAGGGCTGTGAGCCTAGAGGAACTGGACCTGCCGGCCAGCAGCAAGCTGTTGCTCACAGGCTCCTCAGGCTGCCCCAGGCCCTGGGCTGTGGGTCCTTCTTCATCTGATGGTCTCTGAGCCTGGCCCAGGACCAGGGTCTCAGGCATCCCCCATTACCCTTGCGCTGGCTGACCCCCACCGACAGGCAGTTGCTTTCTGCTGTGGGCCAAACACCTGGGCAGGGGAGTGGCATGTGTCCCTAGGTAACACCTGTGAAACAGTTAGGTGGGCTCTTGTCCAAGCCACTGTGCCCATCTGGACTGGGCCAAAGACAGAGCACCCAGAAATAAGCAGGGTCAAAGGTGATATGGGCCATCAATTGGGCCTGGCCCTTAGGCCCCTTGCCAGGCTCATCAGGTGTTCTCCTTAAACATACAGAAGACTATGCCTGGCCCCAGACTCTGGACTCAGATCTCTGGGGTGAAGCCAGAACCCCACCCAGAATGTTCAGTGTCCTTCTCCCTGGCTACCTTTTTGTCCTGCCATCGAGGCTTGACTGACCCCTCACTCCTGCACTCCCTGCCTGCCCTTCCTAAATTTATTTCTCTGATGACCCTTCCATGGCCCTCCTAATTTAATGTTTGTTCAGGTGAGTGCATGCCTCGCCCATAAGATGTGGACCCCACGTAGGCTGGACACTCTCCTGCTGTGTCCACAGGGCACAGAAGAGGGCACTAAAATTTCTGTGGAAGGAATCAGTAAACAAGGCTTAAAACATTCTGACCACAGCTTTTATCTATTAACTTTCTATGGACATTTAAGATTCATGCTCTCCTTTGTGTCTGCAAGTATACCCTGAAGCAGGGGAATAGTGGTCAGCTGGGCTTTGATAGCAGTAATGGAAGGCAGTGTTAGCCTCTGGGACAAGACATCTGGGCTCTGTGGGCATCAGTGGCCCAGTCTGCAGTGACTCATATACCCATAAAACAGTGTTATGGACTTTGCAGCCATAACATGTGCTTATGCACTTTTTGGAAATTAAAAAATTAAAGAATCTCCCCTGTTACCTATCTCTAGCCTGAGCAAGCCCCAGCCTGCAGGAGGAGCTTCACTTCGCCCCATAAGGTGTTGTGGCCTGCACCCTGGGCCGGCCAGCTGTAGGCGCAGCCTCTACGCCTGAGAGCAGCTAGCCCAGGGTCCTGCCCAAAGCTAGGCCTGGAGGGCTAAGTACCAGCGCCTTGGAATCCAAGGCCTGGTGGTTGAAGGTTGTGGCACCAAAACCCCTATTATACTCCCAGCCCAGTCACTGTCCCCAGAGTCAATGCACTGACCTGAACCTGCTATACTGGTCCTGCCTGTGCCCAGCCTGCCCTGTCGCTCTGAAACTCCATGCCCTGCAAGTTAGAAACCTGGGGCTTCTCAGTCTTCACACCCCAGCCAAGTGCCAGATCCTGACTCATCAGCTCTGAGGCCCCTTCACCCCTCCATCTTGGGGGGGGCAGGTCTCATGGCAGAGTAGAGTAGGTCCCTGCCCCTGCAAAATTTCTGTCTAGGGGCAGGGATTGTGGCCCTTCTTGTCCCTGAGCAGGGGTCCTCTGTCCTAGCAGAGCCAGGGGTGGTGGGCAACGTGGCCAGGAGGCCATATTTGATATCTGGGGCAGTGGCTGGATCCCCCACTGGCTCAGTAACTTGGTCATCTTCCGCCACCTGGCCCAGGTTCCCCCTGGCATGAGGAACATGGCAAGGTTGCAACCAGCTCTCACCTTAAGGGTGGGCAGGGTGCCCGGCCCTGGGGGCGCGGCCCTGGGCCCCTCTGCCGCCGCGCTCTCTTGACTCCCGGGTGTTCTTTCCGTGGCGGGGTTGCGGGCCCGGGAGCCATGGCAACGGGGCGGGGCCTCATCTTCATACCCAAATATTCCCGAGCCGGTTCGGCGGCTGAGCCCCGCCCCCTAGCAACCGTTGCCGGGTACGCGACCCGGACCCCGCGTGGCCTTCGCGGGCTGGCGCCGAGATTCGCGCTCTCTGGCAGGGTGGGATACCTTGAGGCCGCCAGGCTCGGCGGCGGGAGAGGGTCAGCGAGCCTGCCGGCTAGGGACGCCCGGCCCACAGTCCCCAGCCGCCTCCACGAGAGCGGGGTTTGGACCCCCGGCGGCAGCCTGGGGCCGCGGGTCGCGGTTTTCCTAGGGATACCATGTGGAAATTCATATATATATTAAACGTCTTTTGCACCGGGCGCGGTGGTGCACACCTGCAATCTTAGCGGTTCGGGAGGCAGAGGCAGGAGAATCTCGAGTTCAAAGCCAGCCTCAGCAAGGGCCGGGCGAGGCACTAAGCAATTCAGTGAGACCCTGACTCTAAATAAAATACAAACTAGGGCTAGGGATGTGGCTCAGTGGCCAACGAGTGCTCCCGAGTTCAATCCCCGGTACGAAACACACACACACACACACACACACACACACACACGTCTTCGGCGTCTCCACCAGTGCACCTCTGTGTTTGCGTGGGGGGGGAGACCTCATTTCGCCTCCTCACGGTGACTTTAGAGTTGGACTGGCGGGTCAGTTCGTCAAATGGCCACACTGAGATGCTGCAGGGTGGAACCTGGGGCGCGGGGGGCTCTGCTCAAGTTGCGGGTGAGGCCTCAGCATCACAGGGAGGGGTAGGATGGCAGACCCGCGGCCACCTGGGGGCACCGGGCAAACCCAGCCTTCCTCGAATCCAAGCCCGGGGCGTCCGCGGTGCTGGCCCTTCCTGAGGCTCAGCACCACCTCTCCCGACTCCCGGACTCTCCTTCCGCCTTCGGGCGCCGAGGCCTCTGGGTGGCAAACACTCCGGTGTCGTGGAGGCTCCCAGGCAAGGTCTTCCCAGCAATTGCCGCCTGTCCCCGGAATCGTCCCGCGTGGCACCGGTGCCCAGTTCTCTTCGGCGCCCGGAACTCAGGCCCGCGCCTCCAGGAGCTCAGCCCCAGGGCCCCTCTGGGACACCGCCCTCCCAGACTCTCCCGGAAGC